TTAATAGATATTAAATTTATATTATATTTTAACAATTTATATGATTCACAATTTTTGACAACATCGAAAAATTCAACCGTTTTATTTAAACTATAATTTTATAATTATAATTTACTATAATTTCTATTATATTTATTGACAAGTTTTTGTAAGTTCGATATTTTTAAATAACTACTTATATGAAATATTAATTTTGGAGCAAATTATTTATAATTTTTTCACGTTTGACGATCCCGTCGTATGTTAGGTATAACAGGTATATAATATTCGATTGGCTATTATGTCCTACACATTTTAGCGCAAAAGATTTGTCGTTTTTATACCTTTGGCGATTATGTCATATACAGTGTTCGGACTTATGTAGATAATTATTTGTTCATCTTTTATTTTATCTAGATAAATAGTTATTACAAGGTATCTAAACGTTCATCTTAGATAATTTTTTTACTAATCTAAATAAATTCATCTAGATACATTTTTATTGATAAAAATCGCTAAATCGTAGACAATTTTTAAATATTTATACAGATTCTCAAACAATGTTTATGGTTTATAAATAATGTAAGTATTTTTATTTATCTCATTATTATAATTATGTTCCTAGTGTCCAACTAAAATATACCAAAAATTTAAAACCATTTAAAAGATAATTGTACCTTTTTTTTTATCTAGATAAATATGAGTTAAGTTATCTTTTATATATATCTAGATACATTTGAGTTGTATTATCTTCATCTTTGTCTAGATAAAAAAATACTTATCTAATCCGAATACTGGTCATATAGTCTATATAATATTATGTTAAATGTCGGTTTTTTACCCATAAAACTTATATATAACCCCATTCGATATATACCCATCGCTTGCAGTATATATACGCCTCTTCTCGCCCCCTCGAGACAAATAATTAAAACCTTTGGGTCGAAGACGGCGGAATTCCCGCATAAAAAGACCTCGGGACGATAACCATCATAATTTTGCACCAGGTCGCACCACGTTCGTATACAATGTACGTTTTTAACAGTCATCGCGAGGTCTTTGTCGAAGCCGACGAGACTCAAAATTTCGGCGAACAACGACTCACCCTCCACTGGCACACACACACACACACAATCACGTGCGAATATATTATTCACGATTTATATTCTTGATGTACACGTACGATAAAGCGTGTCGACGGGGATCGAACCGTTTTGAGTTGAGATGAGATCGATCTCCGTCCGTCACAAAAGAGTAAAGACCCAAAAATATTTGCCGCTTTTAGCGCACTTGACCGACCACCGCTTCAATATAATTCGTAAATGTAAAATAATAATGTAATATATTATTATTGTTATCTTGCTCTGTGTGTGCAATGTGTATAGTCCACTGACCACTGTCTCGTAGGAAGAGCATGGGGTATAGAGGTACGTCGTACATATTATATTATTGTAATAATAATACATACCTGAAATACTGCAGGAGAGCGTTTAGAAAATTATTCCGCCAACGTAAATAATATCGATTATGTATATATAGACTCAAAGGTATGCTACTCGGCAGAATAATATAATATAATATATAGTTCAAAGTAAGATGCAGGAGAGGGGTGTTAGCCGAGGGGGGCAAATAATAATTATTCATAATATCAATTTAATACGTCCATTAACTAATAATAATAACTTACCCGCCCTAAACCGTGATTACCGATGACTAAACTTACCGTTTCGTTAAAATATATTAATTCTTATTATTGATTAGAGTTGCTCATTACACTATATAATCTAAGCTACACGCACGAACATTTAAGACGATCGCACTTCATATTATTTTAGATCAATATTTCAAAAACTATTGACACCAGCTGTATCGGATGGTCTATAATCACTGAATTTGAAATGATTTCTTTTAGTGCCGGACTGGGAGAAAAAATTAGAGACCGGGAAAATCGCAGTTCAAGCGACTTTTACTTGGTAACCATCCAAGTACCATCACTTCTTTAGTTATAGGTACCTATATTTTTATTTTTTATTTTAAATCCTGATTTTGAGAAAATCGATTGTGTTTCTTCGTTGAAACTCATCAATTAATAACTATAGAAACTTGAATTTTTTCACAAATATATTTATATTAAATCAACTATAAATTATAGCAATTTAGCATAATATCCAAGAAATTGTATAATTTATAAAATATTTTGATAATTTTTTTGTGCAATTTATAGACATTGAAATGTTCGAATTTTCTAAGATTTTTGTATTTCCAAAAAATAAAAATTTTAGTTTTTATTATTGTGAAAATATTATTCACTGAAATATGAAACTTTTTATTCCAAATTCAAGCACTGCGTATATTATAATTATAATCCCCTGATTTCGAAAAATTGTATAGGTACTAGGTAGCTGGTAGGTAGGTACTCATTATTAAGACTCGGAAGCTGTAGGAGTTGCATACTATTCTTATGCTTTCGATTTATAGCTGTCCAGACTAGAAATCCGATCTATACAATGGTGAGTTGAAAAATATAAAATTTAAAATCAATATTTTCCAAATTATTTCGTCAATCTTAGGGAAAATGTGCATATTTAATATTTATCGATTTTCATACTCATATATTATGCATATTTAATATTTTCAATAAAAAAATTATTTTGATGTAACTTGTGTACCTATTATAAATAATATTAAATATGAAACTCAATATTATTTAAAGTAGGTATTTATTGTTACCGTCACAGTTGACTATTATTTTAACGACAACTGTGAGGGTTTAATCTCTAAGTATCTCTAATAATTTTTAAACTAATTTTTCAGTTTAATAAAAAATGTCAATATGCCAACCACTTTTCCACCATATTTTAAATATTATAAATTTATTTTAATATATTTTGTTTTTGCACATATGAATAACAACATAAGATGTTAAATGTTTATGCATATTTATAAAATTGTTTTGCTTATTTAACATTTTTTCATGCATATTTTACAATTCGTTCTTGCATATTTTGCACTTCTTAGCTTCTATTACTTCCGAGCCTTACTTATCGACATAAGATACTTACAGGCCATGCTTATACCTACCAGCGTTGTGCCCTTAAGTATTTGCTATAAAAAGGAACCGATATCGTACATTTTAAAATAATAAAATATATAATGTTATAGACATATACATAGCGACGATTATAATTAATCCAACATAATATGTATGATTGTAATTTAACGAGTTTACCAGCAATTTATTTAATTATATCGAAACAGCTTAGCGTGGCAACATTCATCGTATTGTACTTGTTCATTGTATACATGCATATTGTATATACAATAAACACTATAATATTATGGTAAGTATTATCACTCACGACCGTGCGAAATTTTACCAACGGAAACTGCAGCACAAAGAATATAGTACATTATATTATTATAGTAATGGTGATAATAAAATCGTTTAAATAGGTTTTTGTGTGAATAGCGATCGCTAATGAATATTATAAGTATATATTGTATCTCCATTTCGAGTGTGCTAAAACTACAGTATACACCCCAATATTAATAGGATATACCGTACAAAAATGCCCATTATGGGATGGGCATTATTAAGCCACAGGAACTATATAGGTACATCGGCATAGTTGGTATAATGATAATACATGCGGTAGCTTACAAAATAAATAGTCCGTTTTTAATTTCAATTTGGGCAAACGACACGTCCCGTTCCCTTGCTGAATTTCGGAAGGAATAAATTTTTTTTTTTATTCACGACAGGACACAAAATAACTCGGTCGACAGACTGCTGCAGAAGTGCTATAGCTTGAAACTCTATTATTCGGGGATCCTGTGCATTGAACATTAAGTGTGTGTTTAATATTGTTTGCACGGGGTAGGTATTTCAGCACCGGAAATTTTAATAACGTACATAGGTATTATTATAATAGTGTCGTCGTCGTCGTCGTTAGAGAGAATAGGTCTGGCGATCGCATTATTATAATATAATGCGTACGCCACTATTATACCATTATAATATTATGTATAGGTCGTGGTGTCGCACCTACCTCAATTTAAGTCGCGGTCAAGTCGTCAAGAGCACATTTATCATTCGCGTATAATGCACGTCTTAAATACATCTCGCATCGAACAGACACAATTGAACAACAACTTGGAACACTGTCTCTGCAGCAGTATATATTATTATTATTATTATTGTGTATATTGACTATATTGTATTGGTGAAATGCGCAGTCTTAAAAATACCCTTCCGGCTTCCGCACAAAAGGCTTCGAAATAGTTTTCGCTATAAAGGAACGTTGGAGTATATACAATGTAGACAACACATTATACGGACAAAATAAAAATGTATTAAATAGAAATTATTCGCATCTGAAAACAGCCTAATATATCGTATACAAAATTCAAAAAAGTGCTTAGAAACTTATTATATTATATGTAAAGTAGGTACCCAATAAGCATATAAGTACCTACCTATATAAAAATATAAAATTTATAAAATAAATGTATATTTTAATATAATATAATCCTGAGATAGTCCTAAGACTAAAGTTGCATTTAAATATCAAAACTATATAATTGCAAAATGTTCGGTATACAAGTACTTATGGATAAATATAATATATCAAAAATAATAATAATCAAATAAAAACACGCGACATTCGTTTTTTAAATCTAAATGGCAAAATAAAAAAAAAAAAAATAAGTCTAAATGGTGTGACAAAAAAAAAATCTCTTGTATATGCCCATAAATTATGGTATGATAACATAATATAATATAATATATTATGCCTAATATTACAGTTTAGGGCACTGTGAAAATACAGTGAGAATACTTGGTTTATACAATTTAAGGTAAACAATTATACTAAAGATAAGGTTTGAAAATCGATACTGTAAAAACTCAAAAGTCACATAAGTTGTCGTCGAAAGCCTACAGATAGCCTACAAAAAGTCTACAGCTTGTATACCAATAAATAATATAATATTATTAGTACACATAGCCATCAGCAATATACCTACTCGGCAAATATATTACTGTTGGCCTTCAGCAGCCGTCTCTTGATGTCCTTCATCTCACTCACCTTCTTGGTCAGGTACATGACGCTGATCTGGTTCTCGATGTACTTCTGCCGCTTGGCGTCCCTAGACCGTTTGGCCGCCTCGTTGTTCTTCTGCCGCTTCATGACGTACGACTGGTCGTACTGCTGGTGGTCGTCGTCGTTGTTGCTGCTGCCGCTGCTGTTGTTGTTGTTGTTGTTGTTGGACCGTCTCATTTTCTCGAAGTTCCTCGGCGGCCCCAAGCTCTCCATGTACCGGTGACGGAACGACAAGAAGTCCGACTGTCTGTATATGGCTGCCACCTCCTCGGGGTCCACCACGTCCATGTCGTCCATCGCGTTGATGCGGTGGCGGTGATCTCGGTCAAGGTCCCGCTGCTGTTGGTGATGGTGATGGAAAAGGTGATGGTCGTCAGTAGTCGTAGTGCACGTGGTCGTCGACTCGGGCGACGGACAGTCGGATCGGTTGGCGCTGATGTCTAAGCCTCCATACGCTCCACCGGAAACTCTGCCATCGACCATCCTTTCGTAGTAAGGATAACTGCAGAAAGCACGAAAAAAATGTACAATCAATATTAATGTATTATAAACAAACTAAAAAGCAATATGATAACAAGATATTTTCGGGGTGGCACGATTTAAATCCTAAAGAACATAAACAAATACAAGTAATATCATATTATTGTGATTAAGGGCCGATTTCACCAACACAGTTAATTACGGTTAACGCTTAATCGGCTGATAATAGATATTTAACCGGCCAAATTCGGCCGATTAAAACTCCGGTTAACTTTAATCATGATTAACTGTGTTGGTGAAATCGGCCCTAAGTGTTGGTAATGATTGTCGTACCCGAAACCGTAGGCTGGCTTGGAAAAGCCGCAGTCGTATCCGCCGAACGGGAAGTGGTTGGACTCGGACGAGGACGGCGACGACGTGGCCGCGTACACTGGGCTGCCGGACAACAACATCGCAGGGTCAAGCGGGAGAACGCCGTACTTTGCCTGCAGCTCGAGCGTTCGCTTGTTTATTATCTGCTGCTGTTCCCGGGTGCGTTGTTGCGATATCTGCAGCTGCAACTGGAGCTGCTGCGTCATCTGGAGTTGTTGCTGATGTTGCATGTGAATTTGGTGTCGGATGTGGTTAGTTTGATGGTGAAGCTGAGTGGCCTCGGGCGTCGGAAGAACTGGCAGGAACGGGTTGTACTCGGGTACGGCTGCGGACGGCATCATGTGCCGGTAAGCGGCAGCGTCGGCGTACATCCCGTGCAGTGGCGCCAAGGGTTCGGCGGCCATCGTGGACGACGACGAGTCCGGCGACCAGTAGACATTGCCCTGTGGCTTCAGCTTCAGTGGCGACGGCGGTGGCGACGATTTGACCGCCTGCACTTTCGGCGACAGCACCACCACCGAAGCACGCTGAGCGACATTCGCTGACGGCGGTGGCGGCAGCGGCAACGCTCCTCTTCCGGCGCTCAAGTCCAGTGGCGTCGATTTAACGCCGTTCTGAGCGTTCGACTCCTGCTGTGGCGCGCCCCCGCTCAATTTCTCTGGGCCATCGCCTTCCGCCTTCGCTTCCTTGTTGACGTCCTTCTTCACGGTCAAGTCCAGAGGTACCTCCTCGGTCGCGGGTTCGTCCAATTCCATCGGTACGCTCATCGCTTTCTTCGTCCAAAGATGAAGTTCTTGTATGTATAACCTGCAGCTGCTGTAAAAATAAAACTGACGTTTTAATAACAAACTTAAAAAAAATGTTTCTCCCTAGAGTTGGAGAACGATCTGACGACGGACAGTAAAATATCGAAAGTCTTTATCGTAAGTAAACCATATTATATAATACGCGTTCGAATGGTGAAATCCACGGTCTGTGGTCTGCATATGTATATATAATATAAAATATAGACTAATATCGACCGTCCAATTCAAAATAATGTACGTAAAAACTCGTTAACTATACACAGGTACCGAAAAATATCGAATGTTCTTTTTTCAAAATAATTTCAATTCGAGAACGAAAAAACTTTTTTGAGAGTTATTGTCCTACGTTATATCATTTAACCGGGTGGTCGACTTCGCGTTATTAAATACGGAAATAAATGCTTTATGCGTATGTATTATAAACACATCCGGTCGATCGTCTGCTGCAGCGGCGATGTAGCACGGACACGAAATGTGTTATTTACGCACCGCCGACGATTTCACAAAAATACAACGACCTAGGGGTAACCACGGTCGTGTGGCGGTCTTCGCCGTATAACCAACGCCGATTGGCCGGTGAACCCTTTGAGAGCGAGGGCGTGGGACCAATGGGACGACGGTCACCTCGGTCTGCGTGTGGTCCTCCACATGTGTGTCAATAACTCCCTGACGGACGGCACAAGTACGCATCGCCGTCACGGATCGACCTCGATTTTGAAATATATTTTAGTTTTTTTTTTTTCTGGGTCACCACCACGTGTCTATTTTGATGGAATTTAAACGCAATTCGATCATTTGTTTGCAACCAAAAGTAACTATCTTACAGGTTATTATACTCGAGGTTTAAATGATCCGAAAACGAGGAAAATGTGGTTAGAGCAGAGAAATCTCGGAATTCCGACACGTCGTTAATATTATAATTATAATATGTGCTTTGTTTTAAGCGAGTGGCCACTTTTTCCTCATCGAACTTTCGGACAGAACAACCCACTATTATTACAAGAAAACTACATATTATTAATTACAACTACATTATGACAAAGCTAAAAATGTGTTTGAAAAAAATTGTCAATTAATGTTTGCAGTAATTTTGTGATGTGTAATAAATTGACGTACAGGTTTTTAAAATGTGATCGCTATTGTAACGATAAAAAACGATGACATTTTAAATAATTACATAGCGTATACGAGGTTCGGTAGTGCCAAACGTATCGGATAATCTAGTTATCGTCGGACAACGGAAACTAAAAATTGTTAATTATAAAATGTAAATTCAAAAGCAAAAGTTTATGACACGTGTGCTCTTCCCTTGTAATAAATTCGGGTGGTCTGGTGGTTGTGGGTGGTGGCGGGTAGATGGCCGTGTAGTCAAAGGGATGAATAATTCCGAGATCCCCTTTGCAAATACGCCACTGACTGACGTTATGCGTACAGGAATTTAATCTGGCGCAAAGTTAATTCGCATAGACGAAAAATAAAAAGGAAAAGCCAGAGAGAAAAAGGTCGAAAAAACTAAAACTGAAGCGTTTCGGAAAATACGATCTCGTGGGTCCGTGTTCGCCGCATACGTATAATACGTGAACAAATATTTGACCGTTTACAAATGTATACCTTTACCCACCACGTGGGTATTGTTTGAATTAATAATAATAATAATTGTGTTCGATAAATAATTCGGCTCCTAAATTCATGCGCTCAGCCGTTTCGCATTTATATATATTTGCACATATTATTGCATCGCTCTGCAGGTCGATCGGTGCTGTACATATTAGTATTATTGCGTTTACTCCCGAAAATCTGATTCCGTTTTTTGATGTAAGCACCTGCCTACCCTGCGCCCGTAAAATTTAATAATATTGTATGAGGGTTTCGATATACTGCAACGACGACAAGACGAGTATAAAATTCCAGGGATCCCGGTAATTTACGTTTTTACCGACAAGCTATTTGAAAATAAATTATGACGTTATGCTCGTAACTGCATTATTTTTGCGAGTTAAATATAATATATTAAGCTATTCTAAATTCTTTACGTTCTCCGACCGCTGTCGACGGCATTTTTGTTTACATTGTAACTATATATACTACGAACTTTAACCAGTGGCGTAAATGGGTAAAAAAACTAAGAAGGACAAAATAATTCACTAGCCAAAATAGAAACTATATAACCAAAGGTACATAAGAGTTCATAAAAAAAGTTGCTACAACTTGTTTGAAAATAATAATGTGATGGTAATCTTAATATTCATGAAATAATATTGATTTCGTTATTGTTTTAACCATGATAATGCGATGATGTCGACAATAGGTCTACAATATATTATTTTACGGAGAAACCTTAAAAAATAATCAATTACTTATAATATGTAATAATTTGAGTAAGAAATATTTTTATCTCATAAAATATGTGTAAAAGTATTTAAATGTATTGCATTCTTTTCTTATTTTAGAAGATTTCGACTGTTGGCATATCAGTGAGGGGTTAATTGCAAAATATTTTCCCTGGTAAGATTGCAGGAGGAAATTACCCTTCCACCACGATTACGAAACAGCTAAAGTAGGTACTTATTACATTTTTGGTAACTACGATGGCCCAAAATTGTGTTAAAAATTATATTGAGTCGGAGACTGCAACAGGTGAGTACTGTCCCGCGATGATTGAAAACAATATCGAATTACCACACATAATCGAATTTAATTATGAAATACTATAAAAAAGTTAGTATATTATATTCATTTTATTATGACTCGTGTGCCTGCACGTGCCGTACGTCGATAAAAACTGACATTGTTATTACTGATATAATAAATAATACAAATAAATATAATATAATAAATTATATTATAATAATGGGTTTTTTATACGAACCGTATTGAACGTGGATCGGTTGTGAGTTGTTGCGCAGTAAACATAATATTATTATCATTGGTAAATATTATCACATTTATAACAATGACATTTTTTGAAATAATATTTTGACCAAAGGTCGATATTTAAACAGTCTGATAACTACTAACAATACGTGATCGAATATACTATTATATAGGCACCAATAACATACATTTCGTCAATAATATGTTAGTATCAGCTATAGACTTGGACAGCGCGGCTGCTGCTAGGTCACCCGAGAACAGATAGAACAAAGGAATAATTGATATAAGTTACCATTTTCACTCGAGTGGCTAAGACACAAATCATATTATATATAAATATAATGTAATATGTATACGAACGAATAATCGCTGTGTTGTTCTATGTGGATGGAAAAATAATAACTTAGGGTCGTCGTCACCGCAGTTGGAGCGGCAAATAAATAATTTACATATTATACTTTCGGTATTGGCTATATGCCTATGTGGCTGTAATATATATTTCCCTGTATACAGGATGATTCAACAAGTATGCTCGCCTATCCTTTTCTTCTCCAATAATGCAGTTATTCAAATATTATGATTTTTGGAATTCTCAAAAAGGTACCCACTCAAAGACAACACTTACTTTAAAAGAAGATATTTTCTTGACGTTATTTCGTACTGCTTATAAGACTATTATAAGACTAAACTATTTAGCAGGTAATTTATCTGAATATCTGTATGCATCAAAATTATGATTTGAACTGATAGTTTTCGAATTATTTAACTTTCTGTATACTGAGGATGATAGATCCACATGATAATGGGTTTGAAAGATATGGGTGCTGCATAATGGTGATTCCAGAATTATAGTAATTAATATTAGTCTATCAACGTGTATGTTATACTAGATCTTTTATTAGGTACATCTGTTTCATATTTTTGTTAAACCATATTAATTAAGGTTTATTATTCTTATTATAAACATTTCAACAACTTAGAAACTACTCGTTCAAATTTACTATCAACATTTTCAAAAAAATTATCCACTAAATAATTCATATAGCAAAAAGAGGGGTTCTCATTTGAGAAACAGAAGTTCGTATCGTCACAGCACACACTCCTTGAGCAGTATACAAATCTCAAGAATTTAAAAAAAGGTCCTTAAATTAATTTTAAAATTCTAAAAATCGGAATCCGAATAAATTAGAGGAAAAATGGGGGTGAATACGCTTTGAGAATCGCCCTGTACTTAACATACTATATACATAATACACGCACATACATATCGACGACTGTGGGTATACTGCAATCCGGATATAACGTGATGGGCAATTTGTTTTTATTTCCCAAAAGATTTATGAGGCGACGTTTACGATAAATTTAACCGCGATCGGGGCGACGGAATCCGACTTTAAATCTTTTTTTCAACCCGGAAAAGGTCACAAATGTTTAATACATAATAGTTTAAATGCATATTATAATATGCGTATAGCGTATATGAATGATACGTCACGCTTTTCCGAATCGGTTGTTTTAGATTTTTTTTTTTATTTATCTATGTCTACGTCCGAACTTAATATTTTTAATTTCCCTGATATCGTTTTATTTCGTCTCGTAAATCAAAGTTGTTATTTTAGACACAACCCCCTCCCCCAACTACCCAATTCGATAAATTATCGAACATTCAAGTTAGATATAGCTATATATATAGGTTAGGTGTACAAGCAAAGATGTCATCACAGAGTATTTAAGTTATAGAGGACCCGTAATAATATTTTAGATTTTAAGTGGTGCGATCAATGTGCTGATTGTATAAGATCATGTGCGCGTGTGTTTTTTTCTACCTGTCATCACCTTTTGGGGCAGTAAAAATATTTGAGGGTGGTTTCTGGTAGAAAATCAAATCTAATTGGTAGGTACTTAAATGGTCAAAACTAAAAATACTTAGTGATTTTTAAAATAACCAAAAAAAATTAAGAAAAACAGGGAATTTTTACGCAAAGCCATTATTTATTCGACAAAATCGATTTTGGTTTCTTGGTGTAAGTCAAAAACGAATAACTGTAGATACTTGACATTTTTGACAAATACAGTTTTTATATTAT